GGTCCCGGTGCGGGGCTCCCGGCGGGCGCGGAGCTGAGCCGGGGCGGCGAGGACGAGGAAGAAGAGGAGGAAGAAGGGGAGAAAGAAGAGGAGAAAGTGCCGCCCGTCCCGTCTGGGTCCAGCGCGGCTGCCGGGGGAGGTGTGCGGTCCCCGGCGGGGCTGGACGAGCCCTCAGCGCCCGGGCGGTCGCATCGCAGCCCCGGGCTGCGGGACCGGCTTTGCGGTCCTCGCTGTCGTTTTCTCTGCTGCTTTATTCGTGGCGGTGGGGGGGGCATCACGCTCGTTCTCTTTCATGTTCTGTTCCGTTGAGAGGCTTTCATTCAAGTTTCTTAAAAATAACGAGAGCATATGTGAGCAGTGACATATTGAAGCTATAAATTCCCCAGCTACTTATAGTTCTTTACCATTTTACAACGGTCTGCTCTTTGGGTTAGTCATGACTGAGGGTTTGCAGCACTGTGAATGTTCGCTAAGGATTTTCGGGGGTGGAGTGTTTCAGCTCTTAAAACACTTGCGAGAGAGCTACCTCGGAAATACTTGTGTATTTTTAACTTTTTCTTAAAAGGTCTTTTGCGGTTTTTAATTGTGTTGAAGGAAAGAGGACAAACACTTCGATTGTTGAATGATAAGTTAACATGGGTAAAAGGAACCTGCAAGAAGGGTATTTGACAGAATAATTTAATCTTGTAAACCCCATTTGAGACTTTTAACTTTATTGGAGTTACGATTTTCTTTTTGCTGACCATACAATATTATGAAACACAAAATTTTCCTGGCACGAGTTATGTATCTTACGTGGCTCAGTGTTAAAGCTTGCTAGAACTTCAGTCCAACAACACAGCAAAAAATTTACCAATACTGTAGTAATTAATAGAATTATGATATTTTAATTCAACAGTTCTGATAAGTATTTGACTTATTGGAAATTCTCATTTTTCATCTTTTGGGTTTAAAGGACTGAGCGTCTGATGTTTATGACTGTCATGAAATAATTGTAATGGTAAGCCAAGTAATTGTAGGCAAACTCCTTTCAGCAAATCTGCCAATTTTGTGTTTTGCCTACAACATTCCAGTTTTCAGAAAGACTTTCAGCTTTGCAAATCTGTCTGAATGTGGAAAAATGCGTTTGTTCTTGTGATTCAAATACAGATTTGGTGGGATAAATCTGTAATGGACAAGTGCCCAGGATTTTTTTTTTGCCTTTGAAAATCTCCATTTTCAAACTTTGAATGGCAGGTGCCCAGTCCCTTAGTCCCTTTTTTATTCTAAAAAGATGAAAGAGCTGGTCTAGAATTAGTCAGGCTTAATTCAGCTAACAAAACACATGTACAGCCAGGCAGCCTTGTAGAATTCCCATTGCCTTAAAGAATCAGGAGAACTTGTTGGCAGCTGGATGTCCTTGATGTACTTCTGAACGTATAAGTTGTCTGAGTTGACCTGCTGAAGTGTTGCTGGGGTAGGTGTGATTGTTTGGTGAATACACATGGGATCTTGAATTTACAAAGAGTTGCACGTTCTGTGATTGGGTTTTAATAGTACGTGCAGAGAGACAGTTTTGTGGACAGATGTAATAGGTGTTTCCACAGTCCTGGAATTCTCTGTTTGCAACAGAATGCAGGGGTTTTATTCAGATATATCAAATAGGATATGCAGGTATGCTTATGCATACCTTTGTGAGTTGATATAAAGTATTGGATTTTTTTATTTCCTAGTTGTTTCCAACTTACACATCCAATTCCAGGGCTTTGTGAAGTATGTTGTGTCCTCCATGTCTTCCTGCACAGAGAAGAAAACATTTTACTCCCCACTGGCCTTTGCTTGCCACATACTTGAAAGAGTTATGTTAGGGCTAAAGAGTAGGATTTTCAAGAAACTCTTGTAGATGGTCTTTTGTCTGTTTTCAGAAAGCACTCTGTGTGCGCTCTTTGGAAAGAGTTTGACTTATTTTCGCCATCTAATTTAACTTCAATAATGAAAAATATAGATTTACCAGGTATAATGCTAGTACCTCTCCTGTCTTATGGTGGGTTTAATGCTTTGGAAAACTTCCACTAAGAAGCCAGTAGAGCTGTGAGTTACTACTATGCTCTTTTAAAAAAAATTAAAAATTAAAAAGATTAAAGATTATTTTGATGCACTCACGCCATGTAAATATATCTATTCTTTATGTGGCGGTTCAGTTTTCTGTTGACAGTATGTGTGTAGTCTTATGCTCTAGAGGCTCAATGACCTCCTACAAAATTTCGTATAGCAAGGTTCTGTACACTTGTCCTAGATTACCCTCCCAAGAGATGTCAGAGATCCTCATTAACAAGCATGTAGTTTCCCAGTATTCCCCCAGTGCTTTCCAATTAAGCCTTTGTCCATATGTTTAATATCATTGGAAGTGCACTTGGAGCAGGATGATGGAGTTTAAATAGCATGTGCAACTTTTGTTCTTTCTGATGACTGCTGAGGGAGGTGGCATTAAGAACCACCTTTTTAAATAACTGTTCAACTATAGTGTTTCAGTGGGATGACTGGAGTAAAACCTAGAAAGCTGAGTCAGTCAAAAAGGCTGTCACAATAGTCAGTTTTATAAAAGCTCCTGTTCTCAATTATCTGTGATATCTATTCCCTATTAATCATTATTAGACTAGTAGAAGCTCCAGAGATTTTCTAGCCAGCGCATACATTCTGTAACATGCTGGATTACTCTTGGATCTGGATTTGTTTAAAAGTTCTCTTTCAGTCAATCATGTCTTGGCATGTTTGTTCAGGCTCCGTTTTTCTCCAGTCACATGCCAGGTGATTCTTCAAGAAACTGGTTAATGCTATTTCAAAAGTTATAGAATAAAATAGAATTATAGAGGTAATTACATCTAATTTTTGAATGTTTGTTGCATACAAAGAATTTGGAGCTAGAAATTTAAACTTGGTATTTTAAAAGCCAGAAGTCCTGTTGATTGTTCAAGTTTATTTGCTGAGTTACAAATCATGAAAAATGTCTGTTTGTGCCACAGTTATTTTAAATTCCTGGCAGTGTCCCAGCTTCCATACACTGTGGCATGGCAGGTTTATGGCCTGTGTTATTACCCTTCTGGTGGTATTTCAGGATGTTGTGGCAGAAGCGAAGTGCTTTCCTCAAAACTCTGGCTGCATGTCTTAGTCCAAATTTACTACCCTTAAAAGGAAATGTAAAAGTACTGATTTAAAATAACTAAAAAAGATGTTAATTCTAAATTTTTTATTCTTGTTTAGGGAATTACAATTTTTATTTGCTTTATTTATTTAACTGAGAACACAGATACCAGATATCAAGCAACTGAATCTTTAGGCTAATGTGAGGCTGAAAATCATGATGTTTAGGAGAGCGTGTATGGTTTTTTGAGTTGATATTTTACCTAATACTAGCTGATGACTTGAAGCCAAGATGGAAATTATAATCTCCATCATGCAACTTCTGTTGTCTTGGGGAAGCCCCTTAACCCACCTATGCTTTGCAAATTCTCCAAAGTATCTCTAATAACACTCGGTATCAAACAGGCTGATTGGCACAATCATTTGAAAGCCTATTACCTGTTTTCAATTTTGTTTACTGTGAAAACATATTAGCCCTCAACACTTCTTAGCAAAGGCTTGTGCAGACTCCTGTGGTAACAAATGTTTGTTGGCTAGCCTTTTTTCAGTGGCAGTTGATACTGACAATTTTGAATCATTAGGAGTTTTTTTGCCCAAGTAGCCAGTACTTAAATTCTATTAGCAGGTTAGCTCACATAACATTTTTGGCCCCACATTTCAAGTCTTTTGGAAATTTGTCTAAACTACTTCAGTGTATTATGGTTCTTTGGAAAAAAAAAAATGTGACACTTTTAGCTGTTAAAACTGAGTTTGATGTGGTAAGGAATATAAAAGTACTTAGAAAGTAGGATACAGAAAGCTAGAGTACCATTGAAAGCATTCTAATCACATTGTGTTTTTCTTGCAGTAATGCAAAGATATCACCATATCCTTAAAATTAATACTTGAGTTGTTGAATATAATGGAAAGGAATTTTATAGTGTCTCTCCTGATCCATTTTGAAACAAACTTGCAGAATCATGATTTATGACTTAATCAGGTATTGCCAATCCGATTTCAAGATGAAGGATATTTATTCTTTGCAATACCTCATGAGTAAGATTACTCTTGCCGTAATGTATTAGCCCTATATAGCACACCATCATCTTCATTGCAGGGGTTGGAGAGAGAAGCCAAAAATCAGTTTTCCAGTTTCAGCAATTTCATCACAACTATCAACGAAAAGAAAGAAGGCATCGGAAACAGGGATTCACCTCCACAACATGTTATACCCAACATCAAAAACGGTAAGAGAATAAAAGTCCGGTGTTACTTAGTTACCAATTTAAGAAGGTGCTTGGTGTTCTGCCAATATTTGTATTGTGGTAGCGCAAAAAAACCAGAAATCTAGGTTTCATTAAATTATGCTGTGCTCTCCAGTGTATAGGCAGTGATGGTTATGCCAGTCCTCCCTCTGTAGAGTTGGATAAGTAAAACAAATAGGTCTGGAGGATAAAAGAATAATCTGTAGTTTTAAAAAAAAAGTTTCAGATGCAGTAGTTCATCTGCAGATCCAGTTTGTCTGTCTGCAGTTAGATGGCAGTTTTCCCAGAAATTGTGTCAGAACTTTGTGGAGATTTTTCTATTGCCATCTGAAGGATGGCAGGGGTGAGAGGCTTTTAAGGGAGACAGTTACTGGTTTTTAATGAAGGTTAGTGGTGACACAAAATAAAATTCACAAGGATTGGCGAGTTCTGAAGAGCTTTAAAGGCATGAGGGAAGGTTGTTGTGATATGATGAGGTAATGATAATTGATGAAAAGGTAGAAAGTAGACTTGTATATTCAGTATGACATGTTAGAATAATGAAAGCTGATGAGATGACATTGTGGTTAGACCTGGAATTTTTTATTAGTTGGTTTTGTTTTTTTTAAATCTCAGATATGGAATTTCAGTAATTTGGGACTTTTGATAAAAGGTTGTACAAACATTTGTCAGGTTTGTACTCATATTGCCTCTTAGCAGGTCCATCTCAGCCATATTAATCTGTGGTTTTCTTAGTCTCAGTGAATTTGAGACCATAAAGAAAGAGACTGTGTTACTTAAGAAATCTCAGTAATGTGAGTTTGAAACAAAACTAAGGAAAAGTATTATCAGTTTCAAGGTTGTGGAAAGAAAAAGAAAAAAGATGGCTTATATTTGCACTTGTATCCTTACAAAAATGATCTTTGTATCCTTGCTAGCTATACCACAAAAGTAAAAGTTAATCCAAGGCCTTTTTTTTTTAAGCCATTTTTATTATGTAGGAGGGAGGCTTTTTCTACTTTAAAAATAATAATACTAATAAAGGCAATTGCTGAAAAAAAAAGGCAATTACATGTAAATGACAACTCAGACAGGATTTTGTTCTTGGCTCTAGTCAATTTGTACTACACAAAGGAAATGAAAGTGGCTGGAGAAGGCCAGTGAAGAATTCTCCCACTGGTGCATAATTTACTGGAGTTAAAGAGCAGTGGTGTTCTTAAGAGCAATACTTGGAGTAAGGCAAGAAGATGCTGCAAATCAGGTCAGCCCTGCTGATTCTTAAAAAATGCTTCAAGGCTGAGCTAATAGAGCTGGAAGAACAGCGCTCAAGTGGCCTTTGATGGCCCCTATGTATGTTTAAGAAAATTCTTTGTAAGTGAATTGTGTATAAGCAATTGCAATATTGTTGCAATCTGAAAGTTCTCAAAGCAACTGTTTTGTCTTTCTTGGTAACACTGTTTTCCTCAGAAGCTGAAAGTGACCTCTTGGCAATATTAAATACTCAGCTGCTAGCCTTTTTAACAGAAACATGTATGCAGCTGATTGATAGACTCCAAGCTGCTGTCTTTCATTATTTAAGACTTAATTATTTCCTGTCCAGCTCCTGTTGAATGGTTGCTTAATACAATCTTATGATATGAAAGCCTGCTGTTTAATAAAATCTAGGGCAAAGTAAAATTAAATCTAGTATTGGGCCGAGCAATGTGAAAAATACAGTACTCTTTTTCAGAAATAATTTCACTAAACAAAAGAATTCTGTCTCCTTTGCCCTCTTTTTTTTTTTTTTATCTGACAAAAACTGTAAACTCTAAACACCTCTGTCTCTTGAAGTGCCCTCAGTTCTCACTACACGTGATAATTTCAGGGTGAGGGTAACCTCCCTGTATGAAAACATTATTTTTACAGTGCAAGGCATGTTCAAAATGTTTTGAGGAGATATGTGTATTCTGTGGAAAGAATAATCCTTGAAGCAAACTTCTCAGTTAAAAATGCTTCTTTTGCTATTCTGGAATTCACAAATGATGCGTGGATCATTATTTTCTTCATTTGATATATGAGGTATCTTTCTGAATATGTGTGTATATATATTTATGTGTACTGGTAATACTTTAGGCTTGACCTCAAAGAATGTTAAGTTTGTTGAAAAACAAGTGTGGAAAAGGTAATGCTAGTAAATACAGCATGAAAGCTAAAGCAATCTTTGTTTGGTATATAGCTGCCACAGATACTGAATTAATATAGCAAGTCTTATGCAGCAATGATCTACTATGAAATCTGAATGTACACTAGATTGCTGTAGTTCTTTTATAATATTACAAATCCAAGTAAGATTTGTTTGCTTTGCCAAAATTTTGAATTTTTTTTCTGCTGGTAGAGGTGTTGGTCACCCTGCAAATAACTGCTTTTCTAAATTCATTCACACTGAATTTCCTTGTAGTAGAAAGTTCTCCTTTGTATCAGTGAGATTTTCTTCCTCAAAGTTTTTGATCATTCCCTAAGCAGTCATGCATTGCTGATCCTTTTTACTTGATGTAACTGGGCAAGCAGCCAGAAATTATAGGTGTTTTTTTTTCATCTTGTAATAGTGTCTTTTTGCTGCTTAACATCTCAATACATAAAGTATCAAGTTTCTCCTCAATTGAACTGAAGTGACAGATCCTAATTAATATTTTTCAATGTCAGATGAGCAAATCTATTTACAAATAAACCTGAATTATGGCAAAACATACTGAAATTGACAGTTTTTATTAAACATACTATTAGAATCTCTACTATTTAGTATATCTAATTTAAACTGCATATATTTCAAAGAAAATTGCATCACTGACAGGGCGTGAGTTACCAGCTTAGCACCTGCAGCCTCAATTTGCTGAAATGAGAAGCAGCTTCTGTCAGCAGCTGTCTCTTCTGCAGACGTGGAGAGAATATTTTTCTTATTTCAGTGTATTCAGCTGGTTATAATTCAATATTTAATCTGTTTTAAATTGAGAAGACAGAATGAGAGCTAAATTAAAATTACTTGTCTTTCTCACAGTATAAAAATAAGACACAGTCTTTGTTTCTTTTAGGTCGGTCCATCCTGCTTTCCAAAAGCCATATGCAATAGCAGAATGCTTGGCAGAATTGCTGGGCACTTTGGCTTGAATTAATTTAGTATCCATGTGTCCACTTTGTTTTTTAAGTTACTACTTTTCTCTTTAAATAACTTTAAATTCCAGCTGTAAGAGTGGACAAGGTTCCCTACCTATAATCAATGCCATACTTGTGGGATTTAGGACAGCTCTGATCAGTTATCATCTGATGAATGATGGCTGAGTTAAGTTTCAGTGACAGTGTCTGTGTCATCAGACACAGAATCTGTCTTTGAATCTGTGAATCTGTCTTTGGGTTTTGGAGGTTTTGTTAGCAACTATTTCCCTGCTGTAGTAGTAGTGATGCTACTTTCATGTTTAAAAAAAAAACATAAAACACCCACCAAAACAAAAAACATAGTTCTTGGAACTGTAGTGAAGAGGCTTGGGGGGTTCTTAGACAATTCATGGAGGATTTTGATTTAATATGTTTGTATTTTGACTGTTATTTTATACAATGTCTTTTATTCCAAATGTACATCATAACTCTTATAAACGCTTTTTAGAAAGTGCAGTATAAATCAAACTTAAAAAAGCATTTTAAGGATATTATAGAAGATCCTGTTAGAAAAATGGATGTTTGCGCACACTGCATTTGAATATTTTTTCGTGGTTTTGGTGGGTTTACTTTGTCAGGCTGCCAGATGACCACCAAGCTGCTCCATCACTCCTGCTCCTAAACAGAACACAGGGAGAAAATAAGATGAAAAACTCGTGGCTTCAGATGAAGACGGGGAGTCGACTTGCCAGTTTTTGTCACAGGCAAAACAGACTTGATTATACCAATTTTTTGCCAGTTAGACAAGACAGAAACAAAACTCAAAATACCTTCCCCCTCTGACAAAGGCCACACCTGCAGACCCCTACTGTCAAAACTGTGCCATGCCAACTTTATACAATGTTCTCAGATAAAATATGAGTCAAATAGAAGACCTGCATCCTGGCTTTTGTTGTTTTCATTAAAGCTGTGTAGTTTAGTTTCTAACCCATAAGCCTCTCTTCCTTATTGTCTTTCCCTTTCTGGGAAGGGAGAGAGGTTAATAGAGAGCATCTGTCATTCATTGAATTGTTGACCCAGTAATTAAAGCACAGCTATTTGTACTTAAAATAGGCAGCCAAATTTATTGAGAAAAAAATGTTTAAACCTGCTACCATTTCAGCAGTAGTTCTCTGCAAGACAGAAAACTTGCATTTCCCATTTAATTTATTGGAAAGATTTAAATTTTTTTTTAGAAGGCTGTAGACAATCCACAGTCAGTTCTAGCTAAAATTCTGTAGCAGAGCGTAGGAAAAAATTGCTGAAGACTTGTCCTTGTACATTAGAAAACAGTAGGACTTTGGAGTGGTTGTGCTTGAGATTTTTCATAGTTGTAGGGAGCACCAGTGTTGCAGTTTGTATGTTACAATATTTATAATATATATAGTAAATACAATAGTGGACAATGCTACTATTTGTGACTAATAGCTACTAGTCATGGACTGATCAGTGTGTCTTTCAAAGAGCAAATATTACCCTGGGTATCTCTGTAATTCCATTACATCCTTTGAGGTTGGGTTGTTTGTTTTTTTAATGGTCTTCTAACTTTCTTAGCTTGAGTTCCTCATAGGTTAAGGTGGATGTGATTTTCAGAATAGGCGCTTTCATTATGCCTCTGACTTTCAAAGTCACTTAGCTTAATGAAAATACTGCAGCACACATTTCTAAAAATGAAATTACATATAAACTTGAGGTTTTCTTGCCGTGATGTGAGTGCTGCTGTATGTATACCAACGAATTATTATGGATATAATACCAGTGCATCATCTTTAAGTACATTATTTTGCTACTTTCCCTAATAATGATTTGAAGTAGTACTGCTTTTTTTCTTTTTTTTTTCTTTGTCAGCAGCATGCTTGCAGTTCATTTGTGAAAATCTCTCTTGCTCTACTTTGTTTATGTAACAGAAAATAATTTGCTTGTAACTTTATCCGGCAGTTCAAGTTCATTTATACAATAGTAGACACTCCTGTTACCCAGAAAGCTTTAGACAGGAGATGGACAGGCCAATTTTCTGCCTCTGTTGGCAGAAGGAAATACTTTGTTCACAAAGCCTTGGTTATGAACTAGAGACATAGTTTTTTGTTAATAGGGTTTTATTTCCCTTTGATTAGAGAAAGTTTCCATCTTGTCTGGGATGAACACACGCTAAGAAAAGCACTTGAATGAGTAGAGTTTAAAGATGTAGAATCCGACAGTGAGTTTTTTGTTTTTGTTTCTTTGTATATATCTCTATATATTCCTATTTATCTGCATTTTAATGGCTAACAGCTTGTTACTTACATGATTGCATCCTATTTATTGTTTGGTGTTTTTTTTAATAAGTGAGAGACCTACCACCTGTTTGCCTCGACGTACGACAGAAGCAGCGCATCTCTATAGATACACTACCCCAAGAGCTGAAAGCACCAGTTCCTCCTGAACCTTCCCTTCCCATCCGAACCAAAACTGTGAAAGATTTTCAGTAAGTTATGCTGGTGTTTCCAAAAGTGTGCTTCCTTTCTTTGGAGTTTCTTAATTTTGTCATACAATTCATACATTTGATTTTGTTAATCTCAAATGGAGGAACAATTCAGTAAGACTGACTAGTAGTAGTAGTTAGTCTGGTTGTGGTGGTGGGGTTGATAACTCTGTTACTGTGAAATTTATCAAAATACTTTCTCTAGCTTGAAATGTTCTGTTCAAGAAATAGCAAAGCTTGTACTTTAGAGATAAAAATTCCATTACTGACATTCAGTGGATGTTTACTTTTGGAAAAATATGCATATGGGTTTCTGTAGGCTGGAAAATTCCTTTCAGTCTTAGGTATTTGTTTGTACTGCAAATTATGGTGTGTCCCGTCCATTGAGGTACTGGGCATATTCAATCTTGTGTGAAACACTGCAGATCAGACACTTAAATACTTAATACCTTTAAAAACACATGTATTTCAGTGTGATGTATTAAGTACCATAACTACGTTCCACAAAACTGTGATGTTCACACTGTCATTTTAGGAAACAGCATAATTTTGGTGAAAAACCCATCATATTTGAGGATCTGGAGCAGTGGTTATGTCGACTGCACTATTCCTAGCTTTGCCTGAAAGTGCAGATAACATTTCTTCATGCATTACGTTAAAAAGCAGTAATTTTTAATATTAGTTCTGTGTTAAAAACGTACTACTTTTTAAAGTACATTTGCTATATATGTGAATACAGTTTTAAGCAGTGTAAGTTATTTTAGTACATCTCCATGAGAAGTACTATGCTTAAACTTTGTGTAAGTAAAAAGAGTTTTAAGATTAGAGGGTGTCTGCAAACACTGCCCCTTAACATTGATTTAGCTAGAAGGGCAGTAAAATTTATGTGAAACAGTGTCTTGTGTTCGACTTCTGTTTTTCCAGATCAGTGGAGACCCTTAACCAAAACTGTATCTACATTAAATTTCTTCCACCACAGTTTGATACTCAGTACATGCTTGTTCAGCTTAGCTAGGCCAGCAGAAATCCACAGGTAAACCACCTGGATTGTTTTTAACTCTGTTTCCCTGATGTCAGATCTACACCACAAAGTTTTGCTTTGGGATTTCACCCACGATATGTGAACATATATTGGCAGAGAGAGTGGATGTGTTCTTAGCTGGGTTTTTACCGATTTGTTGGGAATGAAGCTTGTGGCTTTGTTTGTTTTTTGGTTTTTTTTACCCTTAGCACTGATAGAAGAGCATTATGCTGCTGTAGTAGACTTGAGTGTTCTAGAGTAGGATAATCTTGGTCAGGAGAGGGGTATATATATTCCTAGGAATAAGGCTGAGTCTTTTTTTTCTTTTATTTTCTTTTTCTTTTTCTTTTTTTTTTTTTTCAGACAGATGGGGTATAAAAATCACAGTTGCTCCCAGAGACACATGAGCATGTACTCTTCATTGCTCTTTTCTGTGTTTGAAATTCTGTGCATGCAGGGAGGAAAAGAAATGCTTTTTGATTAGTCAGTGTTTGTATTTGGTGGAAAAGGAAACACATTAGAAGAAAAATTGACAAGAGTTGATCCTTTCTTGGTATTTAGGTGATCTGAAGAGCTGAATTGTTTTCCACATTCACATTTTTTAATCTATTGACTGCTGCCTAATTATGTAGTTATCAATTTTATTCTTTCAAGTAAAGTATTGCAAAGTCATTAGCATGTTTGTTATGTCTTACTGGTGACTTTTTAAGGTACCTAGTACAAAGAAGTTATCGAGGGGGACCAAAGTGGGATTTATATGACCAGCATTGTAGAAAGCTGAAATAAAATTCTGTACAAAATGTTGACTGTGGTTTTGTGTTGTTGTCTTTGGAGTTTTTTTTAAGGTATGATATTACACTAGGTTTCATATACAGATACTTTTAGGAGCAATATTTAAAAGGACTTTAAGAGTAAATCCACAAATTTTGTTGTTCCTTTGAAGAATGTGTACAAACACATATAAAGATTGTTTTATAGGAAAATTTGATGAGTAATACAATATTGTGCAAATGATAATGATTTTCACTACTTTAGGAACCTTCTTACTTTAATTAGTCTCAGAAAATGTATCATGTCAGTATATATGCATAATTCTGTCCTGCTAATTATTTGTATTAACATACTGAACTGTGACACCATCAATTAACTTTTTGAATAAGAGATAATGTTCAGGTGTATGAAACACAAACTGTGCTTTTGTTCTCCTGTAATACCATGTTCTTAAAATGACAAGGAAGATGTTAGAAAGATTGTGATATTGTACTTGTCTGTCTTCTGAGTGTTCTTAGAGAGGAAAACTTGGAGTTACATTGCAGTCTAAAGTCTAAGTGATTGGAAAGACAGAACTCTTATATTAACAATATTTTAATATAATCTTTCTAGGGATGATGTGGAAAAGGCTAAGTCATCAGGAGACTGGAAAGCTGTACATGATTTTTATTCTACAACATTTGATTCATTCCTGGAGATAAATGCTGCATTTAAGGTAGAAAATAATTCATAATACTGCTTAGTACTTACAGTTCTGTGTCTTCAAAGTGTTTGCAAAAACATCAGTTAAAGGCTTGCAGCTAGTTGCCTAAGGCCACTAAGGTAATTTTGTCATTAATTTACCTGCCTTTGTTAGACAATCTGTTATTGCATTGATTTTTTTCATTCCAGTTTAGGAAACTATATTTCAAGTGTATGTACTTCATTTTGTGACATTATGACTGTGTAGTTACTTTCTACACAAACTACAGTTTAAAAAATGTCAAGATAATGCAGCTAATGCAAAGGCCCATACAAATCTGGAAACAGATTCCTTGTCCCTAAAAAAAGTGCAGTGTATGCTCAAGTAGTATAGCTGTTTGTGTGTTGTGGTGTCATAGACTGGTTTTGTGGAGAAAGATCAAATTTGTCTGTTAAAAAATTCTTAATTCTAAACTATTTCCTGCCTGTTACAGAAATGTTCTTATAATATTTAATATGGACGGTAGGGCCTGATTGAGACAAAGTAACCTGTGTTTTCTAGTTACTTAACAAATATTGAATGCTTACGATTGTTGCTGTTGTGTGATGATGGATTGACAGCAAGGATGGAAGATGAATATTCAATATAATTTATTAATTGAAACCCTCCTGCATTTTTAAAATAGAACAACAAAGTGATGGAGTTACATGAATATTGACAATGTCTAGGTTTACTATTGTTTAGCCTCATGTTTTGAATATTGATAAAAGCAACTTAGATTCTTACATTTTGATAGGGGAAATAAATAATTATATCTGTTTTGTTTAAACTCTTGTTTAAAACATTCAACCTTTATTTTCAAAGATAGCAAAGATACCTGAAACTTTTCAAAACCAAAATTTTTCATGCATTATCTAACTTGCAGAAAGATACCAATTCTCCATTTAATACCACTGAGGACTCTGGAATCAATGCAAAATTTGTGAATGTTGTCTATGATGCCTTATTAAATACTGTAAGTAAAAGATAAGAATCCATGTTTTAAAACATTTTAACAATTACTTCAGCAAAGAAATATGCTAAGAAGCAATTTATGCCAAAATTTTTTTCTCAGATAGGCATGATTTCTGAAGAACCTCTCAAAACATACTTAAAATGGTCCCACAAGAATTGCCATAGAATAATGAAAATTGCTTTAGTGAAAGAGGAGGAAAATTTTGCTGCTAGTAATGCACAGTTGATACACCTCAAAAACTGCTTGCAAGATATGACATTACTGTGATGGGACACTGCATGGTGGGAAATAAGAAAAATGTGAAGATGAGGGTAGCAAAAAGTAAGTGCTGAGCTTAGTAAACAAGGATGGGAATATTTTAAAAATTATATTCGCAGTGTTTAAGTTGGCACAACTCCAGGCCTTAGCTGGTAGTCTGTGAGGAAAGATACTTAGCTCAGCATCATAGCAGAGACTTACCTGGCTTGAATTACAACCAAAACAAACTTGCTTGTTCATACAGTATCTTGTATAGAATATGTATAATTACATCAGATACGATTTTTTCCTCTCCTTTTTCCATAGCCTCAAGATGTTCAGAAGTCAGTCCTAAAAGGAATAATTAATGGTCTGCTACAAGAATGGAAAGGGTAATTATAATAAATGCTTGCATTCAGCGCTGTGTCAGCACTTACAACTGGTATACTTTTTGTCTTTACTGTTTCAGCCAAAGAAAGCAAATGTTCTGATACAATTTATTTGACTCATAAGAACTTGTCTGCTTTTGGCATATAAATCTGCTGAAATGTATCTTGAATTTTATAAGCTGAAACTGAGTCTCTGAGAAGCAGAACCAGACCCAGCTATATGTTTCCCAAAAAATCTCAGTTGCTTGTTACCAGGATGATCTTTCTGGCATCTGAATTGTGAGATGAATTAAGGAATTTATCTAGAGTAAAACATACTTTTCCTGCTCACACCACAACAGCGACTAGGATGTTTTAACCTAGATAATTCCTTGATCCAAAGTTTACTTCACAGTGTTTTCATGTGTGGCAATGGCATGGAAAGGGCAGTGCAGGATGCAGAAAGGGATAGCCCAAAGGCAGGAGTTTGGAAGATTACAACAATTTAGCAAGAAATAATAGAAGTGAAATACATGCTTTGATTCACAAAAAGATCTAGCAAGAGAGATCGCCTTGTTATGAATCACCTGTGACCCTGGTGTCCTTTCTCCACCTTATACTGCCTTTGCTGTGCTGCATGCCTGTTTGTGGTTATCTATAAGCCTCAAAGCAGATAAACAGCAAGAAGTACAGAGGCTGGAGTGGTAGAAGTGTACAGAGCATTCTGGCAGGAAATATGTCAGATGGGGAAAATAAAATCTTCTGTGATGTCACCCAAGATAGACAGCAGCATGGACTTCTCTCTTTAGAACACCTCTTACTCTTCACTTCTGTTCTTTTTTTATTTTTGGCCCTCGCGGAATCATAGAATGTTAGGGGTTGGAAGGGACCTCTGGAGACCATAAATCCAACCCCCCTGCCAGAGCAGGACCACCACAGAGTCTAGGGCAGGTCACTCAGAAATGCATACAGGCAGGTCTTGAAAGTCTCCAGAGAATGAGGCTCTGAAACCTCTCTGGGCAGCCTGTTCCAGTGCTCTATAATTCTTACAGTAAAGAAGTTGTTCTTCCTGTTGAGGTGGAAGCTCCTGTGCTCTAGCTTGCATCTATTGCCCCTTAACTTACCACAGGGCAGGACTGAAAAGAGATTTGCCCCTCCTTAGCACCTAGCCTTCAGATATTTATATACATTAATAAGATCCCCTCTCTCTTAGTCTCTTCTCTAGACTAAACAGCCCCAGGTCTCTCAGCCTTTCCTCATAAGACAGGTGGAGAGTCATCCTTCTTCCAGACTTCCTCTCTTGCATCCATGGTCTGGGATTCACAAGGGCTGGTCTTAGGACTAAAGACTGGAGCAAATAAGGTATTAAGTAACTCTGCCTTCTCTGTATCCTCTGCTACTAGGGCTCCCACCTCATTCAGCAGTGGGCCCACATTTTCCCTTCTCTTCCTTTAAATACTGACTTATTTGAAAAGAAGCCCTTTGTGCTCTCTCTTACTTCCTTTGCCAGGTTAGTTCTAAGAGGGCTGTGGCCTTCCTTGTTGCCTTCCTACATACTCTGACTACACTCCTGTTGTTCTCCCAAGTGACAAGTCCCTTCTTCCACAAACTGTAAATTTATTTCGTTCTTCTTCCCCTCCTGGGTAGAGCTGAATGCATTTCAGTTGCCCTCACACATAAAGAGCAACTTCACCACCTCGCCTTGTTGGTCTGTCCTTCCTAAAGAGTACATGGCCATCCATGACAACATTCCAGTCATGGGACCTGTCCCACCATGTCTCCGACAATTATGTCTTATAATAGCCTGGTGACCTAACACAGATCTCCAACTCCTCCTGCTGATTCCCCATACTGTGTGCATTGGTGTAGAGACACTCTAGAGAGAGTCGAGCACTTGGTTTTCACCTTTGAGGAGTGGTAGGCCTTCTGATTGTCAGAAATACTAGCACATTGCCCCACAAATGCTGGGCTGCTACACCCAGGGGTCTGACTAGCATGTCCAGTTACATCCCACTCCCCTTTCAAACCTAGTTTCTCTTGTGTTCTGCCACAAAATCATTATGCTAACATAGCCTAACACCTTTAGAAAGTAGTCAGAATCTTTGTCTTTTTCAACTTCTGAGAACAGTGAAGGTCCTTAAATATGATATTCAATATGTATTGGAACGCAAAGTTAAATCATAGGGTGCATGATTTCATCACTCTTGCGTGTGTATGATGTATACATGTGCTTCTGCTTATTATTTCATTCATTCATAGGCCACGAACAAAAGATGATCTTAGAGCATACTGTATACTTTTACAGGTAAGAGAAATACAATATTTTTATTTAAGTATGTGTATGCTTAACTTATAATCTATAAACCAGTATACTATGCAAACAAGATACTTTGTGTAGCTGAGATACTTCACATTTCATTTCCTGTTATAACAATGTATTAAAATACAGAAGAAATGTAGAGTATGCATGAGGGGAATGGGAGCTTAATGGAACATAGTTGATGGGGAAAGGCTGCATAGATTAAGACTTTGAACTAACAAGCATATAATTGTTTCCTATCGTGCTGTGGGTTGAAAGGACAAATGTTTTAGCAAATTATTCATATTTCTTCCTTTCTTGTTCCCGGGTTTGTTTTATTGGTATTTTTAATTCTGATCTTCCCAGAAAGTTTCACTACATGCACTTTCTGATATTGCTGTAACTGTCTCCAGTGCTGCATTTTGTCCAGCAGACCCTCTCCAGTCGTACTGGCTGTGTTGTCTGATACCTGTCTGTTAACCTATTACCTTTGCTACTGTAGTTGATTTGCAGTTGTAAGAAGTTTCCCCTTTAAATTTTGCCACTGTAGGAAAAGCCTCTCCACATAAGGAGAGGTTTCTGCTGTTACTTGAGAAGATCTGATACTAATTTATTTTTTTGAGACAACAGTTTTTTCTCTGGGGTGGTATGTTAGCTGTGAATTAAAAGGAGTTTATCCTGC